CAGGGTGAAATTCCATCTGCCACTGACCTGCCCTCTGATCAATCCACCTATATCATTTTGTAACTAAGACTTTCTTCCTCACTGTCAACCACCCAGTCAATCTTTGCATTCATCTACAAATTTGTCGTTTATATTTATCACGCACAGTAAGGGAATAGCTTTGATTCCTGTGGCACACCACTGGACACCACCTCCAGTCACACAAAAGCTTCTACCACCACTTTCTGTCTCTACCATGAAGCCAATTTTGGGTCCAACTTGCCAAGTTAACTTGTATCCTATGTGGTTTTACTTTCCTAATAAGTCTGCCATTGGGACCTTGTCAAAGGCTTTGCTGAAATCCACATAAACTACATCAACTGCATGGCCCTCATGTATACAATTGGTCATATCCTTTAAAAATACAATCAAATTTGTTGTTCATGAGTTCTGACAAAGCCATGCTGATCATCTGTAATCAAACTTTGCCTCTCCAAGTGGAGTCCAATTCTCTCCTTCAGAATTTTCTCCTAAAGTTTCCCTACTAGTGATGTGAGCCTCAATTGTCTGTTATTCTGTCAATTTTCTCTCCCACCCATCTTGAAAAGTGGAACCACATTAGCTGTCCTCCAGTCCTGTGACACCTCCCCTATGGTCAGAGGAGAATTAAAAAATTGTGACGTGGGTATTGCTGGCTAGCCAGCATTTGTTGTCCATCCCTAGCTGCCCTTGAGAAGATAGAGGTGAGATGTCTTCTTGAACCACAGCATTCCATGACCCACAATGCCATTTTAGGGAAGTAATTCCAGGGTTTTGACCTAGTGACAGTGAAGGAACAATGATAATTTTCCAAGACAGATGGTGAGTGCCTTGAATGAAAACTTACAATAGTCATGTTCCCATGTTACTGCTGTCCTTGTTCTGCTAGATGGAAATGTTCATGGATTTGAAAGGTGCTGTCTAAGTAACTTTCGCAAATTTCTACATCTCATAGAACAAGCCCTTGATTTTCAGGATCATTCTCGTGAACCTCCTCTGGACCCCGTCTAAGGCTAGCATATCCTTCCTTAGATACAGGGCCCAAAACTGCTCACAATATTCCTAACGAGGTCTGACTAGAACCTTATACAGCCTGACCAGTATATCCCTGCTCTTGTATTCTCATCCTCTTGAAATGAAGGCATTTTCCTTCCTAACTGCCAACTCAACCTACATGTTAACCTTAAGAGAATCCTGAACTAAGACTCCTAAGTCCCATTGTGCTTCAGATTTCTGAAGACTTTCCCCATTTAGAAAATAGTCTACGCCTCAATTCTTCTGACCAAAGTACATAACCTCACTCTTTCCCACATTGTATGCCATCTGCAATTTTTTGCCCACTCTCCTAGCCTGTCCACGTCATTCTACAGCCTCCCCACTTCCTCAACACTACCTGTCGCTCCACGTACCTTTGTGTCATCTGCAAACTTGGCAGAAGTACCTTCAGTTCCTTTGTCCAGAACATTAATGTATAACATGAATAGTTGTGGTCCCAACATTTTGCCCTGCTGAATTCCACTAGTTACTGGCTGCCATTCTGAAAAAGATGCCTCTATCCCTACTTCTTGCCTTCTTTCAGTCAACCAATTCTCTATCCTTGCCTGTACCTAGCTCGTAACATCATAAATTTTTATCTTATTTAGCAGCCTCATAGAAGCATAGAAACACAGAAAATAGATGCTGGAGTAGACAATTCAGCCCCTCGAGCCTGCACCACCATTCAATACAATCATGGCTGATCATACAATCTCAGTATCCCATTCCCGCCATCTCCCTATACCCCTTGATCCCTTTAGACACAAGGGCCATGTCCAGCTCCCTCTTCAATATATCTAATGAACTGGCTCAACAGCTTCCTGTGGCAGAGAATTCCACAGGTTCTTCCTCATCTCAGTCCTGAACAGCTTATCCCTTATGCTTAGACTGTGACTCCTAGTTCTGGACTGATTTGATTTATTATTGTCACATGTATATTCCAACTCTCTGCTTCCTGTTTGCCAAACAATTCTTTATCCATGTCAATACATTACCTCTGATACCATGACCATTTGGCTAGTTCACAGACCACGCAAACAGTATCCAATAAAGACTGAGGCCCAGGAAGCAATCGTTGTGATCATCCAGTAGATCATGGAATAGAATGGGGGTGTCTTCCCCATCCCATTCAATACCAACTTCTGCAGGACCCTCAGTGAAGTTAACTCAGAAAGAACACCCCATTGTAGCAAGTCCTACCAGAACGACGGAGGAATCTCATAGAAACCTATAAAACTCTGCAAGACTAGACAGGGTAGACACAGGATGGATGTTTGCAGAGACCATGGAATCCAGAAACAGGGCTGATTGTCTAAGAATAGGGGGTAGGCCATTTAGGACTGAGATGAGGAAAAGTGCCTTCACTCAGATAGTGGTGAGCTGATGGAATTCCCTGGCACAGAAAGCGATTGAGGGTGAAACATTGAGCGTGTTCAAGAAGGAATTTGTCATAGTTCTTAGGGTCAAAGGGATCAAAGGGAGTGAGGGTAAAAGTGTGATCAGTCGACTAAGTTGAATGATTAGTTAAGATCACAATGAATGGCAGAGCAGGGTTGAAGAGTCGAATGGTCTAGTTTCTTTGGTTATGTTGTTAATGGCTTGGCACCCAGAAACCAAACATTCACAACACTGGATTCTGGGCTAAACCCCTAGGACAAATTTACACTCCTCTCCAACGCTCAACAATACACTTGCAGCCAGGTGCCACAGGGATTTGGAACAGCTAATAACTACCTCAAAGCCCCTGGCAACCACTGGACTTCAGGGTCAATTGCAACAATGAGGTTGATGTAGCCTTGAATGTTGTGACATTTCAAGTACTGATCCAAGTACTCTTTAATGTTTATAAGGATGCCCCCCTTACCTAGGTTTCCAGAAAGTCCAGCACCTTGCTAAAGTCCATCTAGGCAACATCTTTTGCTCTGCCCTAATCAATTATCTTTATCATTTGCTCAAAAAACCTCAATCAAGTTTGTGGGACACGACCTCCTCCACACAAAGTCATGCTGCCTGTTTCTAATAAGTTCATATTTTTCCAAATCTGAATACAATGTCCCTCAGAATCTTCTTCAATAATTTTCCTATCATTGATGTAAGGCTCACCAGCCTGTAACTTCCTGGATTATGCCTGCTGACCTTCATAAACAAAGGAACAATGTTTGCTATTCTCCAGTTCTCTGGGACCTCGCCCATGTCTAAAGAAGATAACAAAGTTTTCGTACAAGGTCTCAGTGATTTCCTCCTTTGCCTGCCTCAGTAAACCAGGGTAGATCTTATCACATCCTGGGAACTTGTCTACTTTAATGCTGTTCAAAACACCCCAATGCCTCCTCCTTTTTTACATTGATATACCCTAGAATATAAATATACCCTGTCTCGACTCACCATCCACCCTGTTCTCCTTTGTGAATACTAATGCGAAGTTCTCGTTAAGAACCTCATCCACTTCTTCTGGCTCCGTACTTAAATTTCCTCCTTTGTCCTTGAGTGGACCTACCCTTTCACTGGCTACCATCTTGCTTCTTATGCACGTATGAAAAGCCTTGTGATTTTCTTTAATCCTGTTCTTCAAACATTCAAAGACAGGTCCTTCACTTAGAATAATACTTGTGCCACTTCTTCACTTATTCTCTTGTCAGTGGGCCATATCACATTCTTGTTGCAGACAATGAACTAAGTAATTTTGCATTTCTCAGTGCATTCAGTGATAAATACCATCATTTTGTCACAGATTGTAAGCATTACACACACCTTGTGCATTTGATTTGATTTGACTTATTATTGTCACATGTACTGAGACACAGTGAAAACTTTTCTTTTGCATGCTGACCAGACAAATCTTACTTTACATAAGCATATCAAGGTAGTAGAATGGCATGCAGAATATAGTGTTACAACTACAGAGAAAAATCAACTCTAATATATGAGAAGTCTGTTCACAAGTTTGATAACAGCAGGAAAGAAGTTATTCTTGAATCTGTTGGTCCATGTTTTTTAAACTTTTGTATCTTCTGCCTGATGGAAGAGGGTGTAACTGGGATGGGAGGGGTCTTTAATTATGTTGGCTGCTTTCCCAATGCAGCAGGAAGTGTAGACAGAGTCAATGGAAGGAAAGCTGGTTATCGTGGTCGGCTGGGCTGCGTTCATAACTCTCTGCAATTTCTTGCAGTCTTGGGCAGAGCAGTTGCCGTACCAAGCTGTAACGCATCTGGAGAGGATGCCTTTTATGGTGCATCTATAAAAGTTGGTAAGAGTCATTATGGACATGCCAAATTTCCTGAGAAGGTAGAGGTGTTGGTGTGCTTTCTTGACTATAGCATCAATGTCGGTGGACCAAGATAGATCAGTGGTGATATTTACTCCTAAGAACTTGACCCTCTCGACCACCTTCACCTCAGACAGGGGCATACCCTCCTTTCCGCTTCCTAAAGTCGATGACCAGCTCCTTCATTTTGCTGATGCTGCGGGAGATATTGTTGTCATTAAACCATGCCACTAAGCTGTTTTTCTGTTTCCTGTACTCTGCCTGGATGCTTTTATAAGATCTGACCCACTACAGTGGTATCATCAGCAAATTTGTAAATGGAGTTGGAGCTGAATTTGGCCAGACAGTCTTGAGGGTATAAGAAGTTTTGTAAGGGGCTGAGTACGCAGCCTTGCAGGGCATCATACTGTCGTTCCTTGTTTGCCTTTCACAGTTCTGCACATAAAGTTACACCTGCCACATGATTTTATCTGAGTCAGAATGTGTGCTTGCAAAATCCCATATTTTGTTACATCAGCGAATTTCAAATATTGTTTTCCATATATTAATTAACAAGTACTGGAAGAAGAATACCTGAACATTTTATTTACCAAAAAAATCAATAGTAGAAAAAATAAATTGTATATAGTGTGTTGATATTTTGATAAAATGATAAAACTGTAATATTGCTTGTTCCTTTCAGATTGCTGATTTGCGAGACGTGCATATTGATGCAGTATTGGATGAAATAGCCAAAAAGGTTATCATCAATTTACCAGAGGATCATTCATTATCTTTGGAAGAAATGCTTAGATTCAATGAGGTAACATTGTTTTATAAATTGTTATAGTCTATAGTCTAAGTACAGAATATCATGGAGATGACAGGGTCTCAGCCAGTAGCTGGAGAATCAACAAGACTCTTATGCTATCATGATTCACTGGGGTAGCATTGCAGAAACTAAGCTCTACTATTTTCAGATTCATCACAAAAGTTAAAGATTTTGAGAAATGTGCAGAAATTTTTCAATTTACCTGACTTTCAGTCTGAGGTTAACTGAAAGTACAGACCAGGTTTCTGTACTTGACAAAAAATTGTTTTTGATTACAAGCAATTAGATTCTCACCACAGGCAAACTGTTATGAATTGCCAATGTATAACATATCAAAACAAACCACTCTACAAACTCCCCTTTGCATGCACGTGCACACATACACACGAGAAAATAAACATATGTATGGATAGAGAGAATGTTTGGAAAGAAGTTAAGTGGTCGTGGTTAACAAGGTTTTATGAGATGATTCTTATGCTGATCAGCATACTGCTTCTCATTCTTCTCCAAGTGCTGGTAGGGTTTGCAAGAAGCACACTGTGGCTGGTTTCACTTATACAAGGCACCTGATTTACTCATTAAAAGTCAAAGCTTCCAGCAACTGCTGAAGGAAAAATAAACTGGTTTACTCCAGGCTTAAAGCAGTTTACAGCAGAGAGAGAATGGTCATGGTCTGAAATCATGTAAATGTATTGGCCACAGCTACTGTAGAACAATCACAGAATTGCTGGCAAGCAGAAGGCCTTTGCCATTGGCAACTTGGCACAAATCCATAAACCAATGTGCTACTTGTTGCCAACCAAAGCCCATTTGTACACCACCCTTCAGTTCCAGTTCATCTGCAATCGCTGTTCGTAATGAGTACCAAGTTACTTTTTTTCAAACCAAGCAGAAATCTGTGCAGTCCTTAGTTTTAAAACAGTTTTGATTTTCTCAAGTTAGGCAGCATTGTAGACATTGTAGATGATACCATAACATTACAAAGGAATATTGATAAACTAAGGGAATTGGGCAAAACTGTGGCAAATAGAGTTTAATGTAAATAAGTGTGAGGTTAAGCATTTTACACAGAAAAAGGATACATGTTCAAGATGGTATGAAGTACAATGGATGTCCAAAGAGACTTGGGGGCTCAGGTACACAGATTTTGAAAATATCACAGTCGGGTGCAGAAAATAATCAAGAATGCTGATGAATTCTCCTACTCTTACTTCTGTTGCTGTGTTACTATGTTCCTATGTTCATATCAGTCCACAATTTAAAAAATACAAAAATAGATAAAAGGTCCTTACATGCCTCTGCCGTTAAGAAAAATCGAACAACATTTGTAAAATGAATTTTAGTACAAAATTTATGATACACAAACAACATAACAAAAAACTTATGACTTATATCCATTCACTCTTCTCTTACACATATCCTTTATTATTTGATTTTATTGTCACCTGTATTTTACAATACGAATACAATAAAATACAGTGAAAAGCTTTCATTTTTCACCACAACAGGCGCCAGTTTGAATAATTTAAGAATATGGAGAAAGAAGAAAAATATAGCCTATCAGTCCTGAGCCAGCTCCTCACCATCAATGACACCTGCAACGCCATTTCTCCTCCACCGCTTCACTACCATCTGTAATGGACCCAACCAACATCAGTCGGCATCTTTGCTGCTGAGCCACCATGTCACTGCTGCCTGCACTGGACCAACCAACGTCAAAGTCGTGTCTCTCGTGGCTGGGCCCTCCTCATCAATATTGCTTTGATGCCCTTCCACCCACCGCTTTGCCACTGCCATTGCCAGACCCAACCAACAACAAAGTCCCATCCCCACTTTTACAACCTGTACAGCCTGAGCATTTCTTAACCTTTACCTTGTTCCAAAATTTAATACTTTAGACCAGCTGTTTCCAATTGCATTATATTTTCCAGCAATGTTAACAATGTTTACATTAAATAGTTGCAACAAAAGACAACAAATCTGGATAGTCTCATATTGTGGGTTTTACATTTTCAATTAAGGTTAGCAGTATAAATAAGTGTTTGCATGTCTATCAGAGATTTCAAATTGTTGAAGAGTCAACAACAATTCAAAAATATATTTTTTTCAATGGTACTGTACTTCTTCTGATACCTATTTAGTTTCTTAAAGAAGAACCCTGACTGGCTTCTCTATTCCCAACTCATCATCCTGTCACAAGACAGCAGTTAACTCCAAGTTGCTAGCATTAATTGCTATCTTGAACGGTCTGGAAAAATCAAGGGCAACCAATACTGGTTCATGTAATCAGATTGCTTCCAGCTTTTCAAAGGCTGCTTGACATTCTGCTGACGATCTTACTTTTTCTTGTTTCTTTATAAATTCAGTAAAAATACATATATCCAACTGAAAATACACACAAGTTTCTGGTAAAATAGCACATTGCTGAAAACCTCATGACTTCTCATTCAGTTTTAGTAATAGAGAATTCTATCAGAGTGTTCACTTTCACTGGCCTTGGCATCACTTGTCCTTGTCCAAAACTATGTCCCAGGTAAGTTACCCATGCTTTTCCAAGTTTACTTTTCGCTAATTATTTTATATTAAACCAACCAAATGTATTTGCTTAAACAGGTCTTCTACTTATCCTACATCTCTTCCCAAGGGCTGTTATATACCATGACATCTTCCAAGTATGCAATGCATTACGAACTTCAACCACAACTTTTTTTAATGCATTCATAGCACATGGGCATCGTTGGCTAGGGGCTACTATTCAATGTCCATCTCTAAGTGCAACATCCTGACCAACAGAATGCAGTCAGTAAGAAGAGGCAACAACACCTCATCCGTGACAATCTTCAACACCGGTGCCCCGAAAGCATGCGGACCCAGCCCCCTACTATATTCCTTATACGCTCACAATTGTGTGGCCAAATTCCACACCAACTCCATTTACAAATTTGTTGATGACACCACCGTTGTAAATCAGATCTCAAGCAACGATGAGACAGAGAACAGGAAGGGGATAGAGTGCTTAGCTGCATGGTATAAAGACAACAATCTCTCCATCAATATCAGCAAAACAAAGGAAGTGGTCATTGACTTTAGGAAGTGGAGTAGAGGGCACGCCTCTGTCTGCATCAATGGTGCTGTGCTGGAGATGGTCAAGAACATTTAATTCTTGGGAGTGACAGTCACCAACAATCTTCTTGGTCCACCCACATTGAAAGTACAGTTAAGAAAGCGCAATAATGCCTCTACTTCCTCATGGTGACACAGTGGCTCAGTGGTTAGCCCTGCAACCTTACAGTGTCAAGGACATGCGTTCGATTTCAGCCTTGGGCGACTGTCAGTTTGGAGTTTGCACGTTCTCCCCGTGTCTTCTTGGGTTTCTGTAAGGTAATCTGGTTTCCTCCCACATTCCAGAGATGTGAACATTAGGTGGATTTGCCGTTCTAAATTGTCTTTAGTGTTCAGGGGTGTGTAAGCTAGGTGGATTAACCATGGGAAGTGCAGGGTTACAGGGAAAGTGTAGGGGGATGGGTCTGCATGGGATGCTCTTCGGAGGGGCAGTGTGGACTTGTTGGTTGATTGGCCTGTTTTCACACTGCAGAGAGTCTATGAATTCTATTCTGAGAAATCGGCATGTCCATAAACACCCTTACAAATATTTATAGAAACACCATTGAAAGTAACCTATCTGGATGTATCATAGCATGGTATGGCAATTGCTCTTCCCAAGACTGCAAGAAAGTACGGAGAGTTGTAAACACAGCTCAGTCCATCACACAAACCAATCTCCCATCCATTGACTCCATCTATATTTCCCACTGCTTTGGGAGAGTAACCAACATAATCAAAGTCCCCTCCTCATATACTGTCTTCCATGAGGCGGAAGATATAAAAGTTGAATACACGTATGAACAGATTCGAGAACAGCTTCTTCCGTGCTGTTATCAGACTTTTGAATGGAGCTCTTAAATGATAATGTTGATCTCTCTCTGCACCTTCTTGGCAGCTATAACACTGTATCCTGCACACTGTTCTGTTACCCTGATGCTTTTGTATTGTACGATCTGCCTGTAAAGCACATAAGACAACACTTTTCACTGTATCTCAATACAAGTGACAGTAATAAATCAAATTAAAATCCTTCCCTAAAGGATATTGTGAACCAGCTGGGTCTTTCCTGACAATCAGCGATGGATTCATGGTTATCAATTAGACTCTTAATTTTAGATGTGTATTGAACTCGAATTCCACCATTTGCCATGGCAGGATTTAAACTTAGGTGCCCAGAACTTTACCTAGGTCCCTGAATTAACAGTACAGTGAGAATACCACTAGGCCACTACCTCCCCAGTTTGATTCATTAGCCTCAAGTCTAGCTGGGATATACTTTAACCCAAAATGGCATCACTTGATACTGGTATAATCAATTTACTGTGACAAAAACTGATTTTTTTTTAGCCCTTGTTATTAATGACATTTGCCAGTGCCCCTTTGGTATAACACTCTTGGAAAGGAATGAGGCACTGCTAAGCCTGTCAGTGCAATCTTCAAACCGTGGAATTGGGTATGAATCTATCTTTGTGACTGCATGCAACTTTCTATAATCTATAGAAATTCTCGGTGATCCACCCAGTTTAGGAACCAACACGATTGTTGAAATCCAGCTGTTTTGACAAGGTTCAATCAAGTGAATTCAACTATTGAATTTCTTATTCCATCTGACCTTGTTCTTTTAATTGGCTCAACTGATAATGAGACAACACAGTATGTAGCTGGAGGAACACAGCAGGCCAGGCAGCATCAGAGGAACAGGAAAATTGACGTTTTGGGTTGGGACCCATCGTCAGAAGGGTCTTTGTTTTCTGAAGAAGGGTCCTGACCCAAAACGTCAACTTTCCTGTTCCTCTGATGCTGCCTGGCCTGCTGTGTTCCTCCAGCTCCATACTGTGTT